TACATAGGCCGAGTTCGAAATGCAAATGTAAATCTTTATACAGTTTGGTATCAATCCATTTTACTTATGTAGATGAAGCTAAATCCGAACTAAACTGTAAGTTTTTTTTAGATTTTGAAATATTGATATAGTTTTTACTTAGATCAGTCGAATTCAAAACGTCAATATAAATCTTTAAATAATTTGGTACATGTCTATTTGCTTATTGATATGGATCGACACTGAAGAGCAAGTTCTTTTTTCTGATTATCATATGGTTAAATTTTATTTATTTAGGTGAATCCAAAACAAGAGAGAACTATGGGTCTTTATAGATCATCGAAAATTGCTATTGTATATGTCGGCAGTTTAAGATTTCACTTTAATTTTTTTCTATTCTTGTATGTTTGAATTTTTTTATTTAGCCGATCTAAATTGAAATTAAATTGTGAGTCGATATAGGTTGTCGAATATTGATGTTTTTCTTTATTTAGGCGGATCGAAATGATAAAGCTGTATGGTTGTTTTTTTGAGATTATTTTATCTATGTTGTATTTCTTTAGATGGGTTATGTGTATTTTACTTATTAACGTGGATCGAGATTGATAGGTACGTTTTTCTTCAATTATCATACAATTACTTTTTTCCGTATTTAGATTGATCGAGATTCAACTGTGAATCTTTATATGTATTGGTACACGTCTATCTTGTTTATTTAGGTATACGTAAAGTAAGATGGAACTGTAAGTTTTTATAGATTATCGAATATTGATATTTTATTTATTTTGGTACATGGAAATCTACAATGAACTGTATCATTATGTATTTTGTTCATGTGTATTTTATTTACTTAGATGGGTCGAATTCCAAAACGTAATCGTAAGTCTTTATGAATTAATCGAACATTGATATTTTATTGATTTAGATGCACTGAAATCGAACCGTAATTTTTTTAGATTTTCCTATATATATATATATTATCTATTTAGATGGATCGAATTCGAAATTAAACTGTAAAACTTCATACATTTTGGTGTCTGTGTATACTCTATTAATTTAGATGGATGTGGATTGTATGGTAGGTTTTTCTCTGATTATCACGTATTCATATTTTACTTATCTAGGTAAATCAATATCGAATTTGAACAGTAAGTTTTTATATATTTTGATATATGTGAATTGTATTGATTTAGGTAAGTCAAAAGTGCGATTGAACAGCAAGTGCTTATGGATCATCGAATATCGATATTTTATTCACTAAGGTGGATCGAGAATAAAATGTAAGTTTTTTTTCGATTATCATATATTAATATATTTTTATTTACGTAGGTGAAACTCGAAAATGAAAGCGTAAGTAGTTTTGAGATAGTCGAATATTTTTATTTTTGTTTCTCTTAGCTTGGTGAAGATCGGAAATGAACTAAAAGTGTTTATCAATTGTTGTGTATGCAAATGCTATTAGTTTAGATTGATCAAACTGGGAATCGAAGAGTAAGTTTTTTTTTTATTATGAACAATTCATATTTTATTCATTTAGGTTGATAAAAATCGATATGAAGCTGTAAATGTTTATAGATTGTCCTATACTGCAATCTTATTTAATTGGGCGAAACGTAGTTGAAGTGTAGATTTCTTTCAGGTTATAGAATATTCATAGTTTTATTTGTTTCAGTTGATCACAATGCATGTTGAACTGTAAGTTGTTTGTGTTAGAATATGGTAAATTTTTGTAGGACTCATTTAGGATAGTCGAAATTGAGAGTGTCAGAAAGATTTAGTGTGCTAATGTCTGCACGTTTTATGAGATGGGAAACCTTTTGAGTTTCCGCTTTCATTTTCATTCAGTTCGGAAACGTTTTTATGAGTTTCCGTTCTCGTTTTCATGCAGCTCGGAAACCTTTTTATGAGTTTCCGCTTTCATTTTTATTCAGCTCGGAAACCTTTTAGGGTTTCCAGTCTATAGCATCTGAAGTTCGGAAACCTTTTATGGGTTTCCGTAGGTAGCAGGTTCAAAAGCATTTTAATTGGTTTCCGATAGGTTTCTGAAAGTTCGGAAACCGATTCCCGGATACCCTAAAAGGGTTTCAGATAGGGACATTCTCGGAAACCCTTTTTGGGTTTTCTCGAATACCTTTTTTTTTTAGAGTGTACGTGTCCCTTCTATTCTGATAAATTTCTTTTTGACTCTAATAGAGCAAAATACTTTCTATTGTGTCCTAAATACTTTTCGAGCTGTCTTCATTCGACTTAGTAGATCAAAACACAAATTATTGATCTCTTCTGAGAAAGTATTATAAACTTTGTAGATGGACTCATGTAAAACAATGTTTTCTGTTGCTAATAAATCTCTCACTCCTTGTAGACATTGATCATATGTTCAGCGTGAATATAACTAGTCGGCCTTAGGACCATTCATTCTCTGTGTATCACTGTTGGAAACGAGTTCTGTCAAATAACTAAATCAAATATTCGAGTAAATTGCATGATCTCTATACGAACATGATTTCAGATCTACTTCTGAGGATAACTCTGGTTCTTATGAAAGGATCTTGGCAAAATATTTTCCTCATTGCCACGCAAATTTGTTGAAAAACTGAACTTTACATGTTATTCTATTCGGGTCTTACAAAATTCGATAACATCTGCAAGTGATGCTAGTATTTGCATAGTGTTATGTGATGAAGATGCGGACTATATAACGTGTTTATTCTTGACTTGAAAAACAGATAGCTGACAAATAATAACAAGATACAAACGAAGCAGAGAGAAGCAAGTGAGAGAAAACTATCCATACATGATGGTATACACAAATAAAAGAGAGGTAGAAGACGATGAGCAAGCATCTGACTGCTACCTAGCAACACTAATCTAATTTTTTCTTCAAAGATGAAAATTGTCTGGATTTTTGACCCATAAGTACGAATGAAATAATCTTGCTTTTCCAAAGCTACAAGTAGTTTTCTACCAGATTTATCTAACATGTCATAACTCGGCGATATAATACTCTTTCAGACATTTAGGACTATTCATATTCTGCTACAGTTTGTGTTATTTTTGTCATTTAGTAATGAACATGAATGGTAGAGCTTTGGATCAAACGATAGAATTCAGTTTAGAATGAATTTTAATGAACAAGTATTAGTGTCGACTGAAAATTTTAGAGAGCGAGATGTGCAAGGTCTTATGAAGACAATAGTGTTCTGGTCCATAGAGAAAACTCTGGAACAAATACATCAAAGAGATGTTACTTTTCTTGACTTGACAGTTGTATCATTTTATCTCTTGACGTTACCTTGCTGCAGTTGAAAAGATACTCAAGCGAATGGTGTGCGATCTCTCCTATATCATTAAAATTTAGATGACTAATTAGTGAAATATAGTGGCAGGCAGAACTTTGTTCATCTAATCTAGTCAAGATATTGGTTTCAATCAAAGGTGCATCAAGGTTAGACGGAGAATTTTCGAAGTTTATCAATGTCATTCTTCTGATTGAAAAACAGATAAAAAAACGAAACAACTTCCTTGTCTCCGCTTTTCTTTAATGAAAATGTCCAATACAATGAAGTTCCAATGCGCTCATAAAATTATAGTAGCATTTCTAACTCTTCTCCCTCGAGCTTATTATATTTTTTCTATCGGTTTGAATCGTACTTTTTCATATGAATAGGTAGGGTATCGTTCGAATTTGGTTGAAACACTTCATTCTATGGCATATGATGAGAAGCGAGAATATGAAAAACAAACAAAGAAGAAGTCATGTGTTGCATATGATGCATTGTATTTCTTTCGTTTTTTTTTAATTACATTTGTATGAGAATGTAATACTGACGATGTACAGGTGTAGTCAAAAAAACTTGGACAAATTTTAATTTTTTTTTGTAACGTTCTTTTTGCCTTTGAAAGTAATTACGAAGCTAATATTTCTAGGGATGAATCATCGATAGCTATACTATATGTTCACCATATAGAAGTGTGATTTCTTTTCTTTTCGATACATATATACTGAATCATGACACCAACTAGTAATTTAAAACATCATCATATCTCAATATTACATTATTGGAACAAAGACATACAATCTGCTCGTGTTATTCATCATGGAACAAATATTTCACGAAGTGCTATCTATTACAATATTAACAAATTGAAGCAAGCAAATTCACTTAAACATCAAGGTGGAAATGGTTGACCACGTGTACTTAGTGGAATAGAAAAAAAAGCTATTAGTCAATATATTCGACGTAACAATGAAATAACCCTTAATGAAATCAAAGAAAAGTTATCGACAACATATCATTCATCAGCATCTACAACAACAATACGTCGTCATCTTCGTGAATATGGTTATAGAAATGTTTTACCAAAAAGTACTCATATGTTAACATCGGATGATAAAAACCGACGTGTACAATGGGCTAAACAGCATCAAAATGATGATTTTAAACGTACAATCTTTACCGATGAATCTTCATTTCAACTCTTTCGTAATACTATTCGTCGTTGGACAAAACATCCAAAAAATGAATCAAAATGTGCACCTAAAAATAGTCAAAAAGTCGTAAAAAATTGTGTGATGTTCATGAAAAACAGATGTTTGTCTCTTATTTCTTCTAAAGGTGAACAAATAAAATATTGAAATATGGTGTTCGATAGTACTCGTCGTAGGCTATCAACCAATATATGAAAGAGTTTGAGAATGACATATATATAGGAAAATACTGGCATAACAAGATGTCGAAGTTTTTTTGACTACAGCTGTAAAATACATTTGATTATGCTTCTTCGCCTGTAATCGAAGGGTGTGGGTATGGGTGTGGGTGTGTGGGTGACTGTGGATATGTGGTTTTACGGACGATTCATTAAGCTTTAGACACACCCACCCTGTATGAAATTGATGGAAAAATAAGAAAAGTATTGTTTAATATGATTTTCCAAACAGTCATCGATTTTTTAGATTTCATAATATGAAAAGAACTGTATCGCATGCAGTTGGATAGAGCGTCGAATGATCTACATTTTGTAAAACACGATCTGAAAGGAGTGTTGAAGTGTATACGGTAGAAATTTTGGACCCACTTCTCCCCGCTCTCTCCCCCTCTCCCACGGATCGTGACAGAGAAATTCCATACCCATCACAGACCGTGACAGAGAACCCCCAGAGACCATCATAGACCGTGATAGAGAACCGCACAGAGACCATCATAGATCGTGACAGAAAAACTGTAGTTTTGAAGCATCAAATAAACGGTAACCTACAAATCTAGCTTGAAGAAATGGAACAAAACGATGTCCATTTAATTAGGAACAATAGGTCCATCGTGTTTCACATTTTTAATCCTACAAGGGATTGCGCTAAGAGCTCTTTTTGGTTTTTTTCATAATGTTAAACACGTAGCTCCAATCCAAATAATGATTTTAATAGCCAATGGAATTTTCTATCCAATACACTTTGTAGCAAGATTTCACAGATGAACAATGATGGCAAGACTCCTAAAAAGCTGAACACGATATTTTTCAGGTTCTAGAAGATTTTGCCAATGCTATTTTTGACCGGTGCCATCTTAAAGAGCACAAAACTCTGAGCAAAATGAGGGGTCGCCGAGTTTTCTACGATCTTCTCGTAAAAAGTTACAAGCATTACAAAAATCATGAAAAAGGCGTCTTCAATCGATTTTTAAGAGACGCTTCATGAAAAAACCGAAGATTTTCAGATATCGAAAAACATGGTGGTTAACAGATTTCAAATCTGACCTCATAGGAAGTTAGGCCATAGTGTACCATAGAATAATCCAAAATATTGCGGTCTAAAGATTTACTGCTGGTCAGCTAGGACAGACCGAACTGACACACCATCTAATATACTCCTAAAAATTGCGAAAAAAAATCAAAAATTGACCTATCACTTTTTGTGAGTTTTTTTCTTGAAAATTTTTCACTGTTCAAATCGAGTCATATACCAATCGATAGAGCTTGATTTGCTCTACAAAACTGTATATATGGTATATCTCCTTTATCTTAAATTAGAAGCGAAAAAGTCAAAATATAGTGTATTCATGTGCTCTAAAATATTTTTCACTTTTCAGTATTTTGACTAAATGTCTTGGTCAGAAGTCGATTGCCAAAAAACATTTTATATCATTTTGTAGCCCATTTAATTCTGCATCGAATCATATATTGGACATTGTTTTAAAATGGTCACAACTTGAGATACTTAGACTCGAATATCTATTACTGACATCATATTTTACCGATTTTGCACAAAATTAGACATAACCCCGTATTGATATTTGTCAATTTTTTCTTTAAAAACATTTCGCTATTTAAGTTTAATCATATACCATTCGATAGAGCTCGCTGAGCTCTACAAAACAGAATATAGGAAATGTCTCTTTCAATTCAATATAGAATCGAAAAAGTCTAAACACTGTACTTTTTGACATTGCATTCAGTTTGGTCTATTTAGTATTTTGACCAAATGTCCATGTCAGAAGATGACTTCCAGAATAAAAATAATAACGTTTTGTAGCCCATTTAATTCTGTATCGAATCATACATTGGATATTATTTTCAAATGTTCTAAAGTTCACACGTTCAGACTAACAAGATAAATACTAACACTATGATCAGTGATTATGTACTAAACTAAGTTTTCTCTTTGCTATATAAGGGGTGAATAATTTAAAAAGCGAATCAAATATTTTTCTTCCATATCTTTACATGATTCAATAGAGCTCGTAGAGCTCTATAAAACTGTCTATATTCAAAAATTTCTAAACCATTATTTTGTGACAAAATTTACTAAAAGTAATCTACATAATATACAAAAAATTGCATTTTTCATATTTTTGTGAAACACGATCTGAAAGGAGTGTTGAACTGTTTAGGGGTAGAAATTTGGACCCATCCCCTCCCCCCCACAGACCGTGACAGACAGGCTTTGGGTCCATCAAAGACCATGACAGACAGGCTTTGGGCCCATCACAGACCATGACTGACAGGCTTTGGGTTCATCACAGACCGTGACAGACAGGGCTCAAGACCCATCACAGACCGTGACTGACAAGGCTCTGCACCCATCACAGACCGTGGCAGACAGACTCTGGACCCGTCACAGACCGTGACATACAGGCTTTGGACCTATAACAGACCGTGACAGACAGGTGTGGGTGTGGGTGTGGGTGTGGGTGGGTGTGGGTGTGGGTGTGGGTGTGGATGTGGGTGGGTGTGGGTGTGGATGTGGGTGGGTGTGGGTGTGGATGTGGGTGGGTGTGGGTGTGGATGTGGGTGGGTGTGGGTGTGGGTGTTGATGAAGACCATATCGACACCCACACCCTCAAGATAAACTAAAATGAGGTGAATATAAATATTATACTTATAACCAAACATCAGTGGTCAAGCGGCAAGACAAGAAATCGGTATTTATTTCAAGTGATTGTTTTGATCCGAGAAAAACGGAAACAGTTACTAGAAGAGAAAAAGATGGCTCGAAACAAGTCATTATTTGTCCACAAATAGTATTTCAATACAATAAATACAAAGGTGGTGTTGATAGGTTTGATCAACGAATCTCTTCCTCTTCAATTGACAGAACATCGAAGCGAAACTAATATCGGTTTCAAAATTAAAAAAGGGTGAGTATTTTTAGAATAACTTTTGATAGGAACAAGATAGAGAGCTGCGGTTTTCACCGTTGGAAAGAGGCGATGAAACTGCATCGTTTCGTATATTTCAGATTTTTTTCTGACAAGTATTTTAAAGGTCTTCGCAAGAAGTTTTTTAAAAACTCAAAGATTTTAGACGTAGAAGAAATTCATTTTTTATTCAAAACTAAGGAAAAAAAAGGATTTTTTCGTTAAAAATTGACCGACAACACACAGTAACGTGTTCGTAACTCATGATTAGCTAAAGAGAATAACGTCGGGCTTGTAGAGCTGATAGGTCTTTAGTTAGTGATTCTAGTGCCCTCCTGAAAATTAAAAGTCCATAATATTTACATTATATAACGCTTTATCTTTTGAAAACTTGTTGAAAAACCCTTAAAATACTCGTCAGAAAAAAAATCTGAAATATACGAATCGATGCAGTTTCATCGCCTCTTTCCAACGGTGAGAACCGCAGCTCCCTATCTTGTTCCTATCAAAAGTTATTCTAAAAATACTCACCCTTTTTTAATTTTGAAACCGATATTAGTTTCGTATATTCATTTACTTTCTTCAAGCAAGTCTTTCGAACGTATTTGTCTGTTTTAATAATTTGAGTGAAAAGAAGATAGCTTACATAAAATTTCTCTCTTCTGTCTCCACATTACTAATTGCTGGTCAAAATTCATCGAAAACAAAAGGTAGACCAATTCACTGTTCCATCAAAAAGCGAAACCAAATTCAACAAACGTTGCAAAATAAATCTTCACCAAGTAAATTACTAGCACATATGCCTATAGCTGGATCTAGAGGAATATGTCGATACTGCAGTACAAGATCTTGTCCAGTGTTTAGCAGCGTAAAATGCAGTTTTTATGGTGTTTCCCTTTGTGTGAAACGAAATAAAAATTGTTTTTTGTCATTTCATGAAACATTTGTATAAAGTTTGAAATCAATAAACTTTACAACTAAAGTTTCCATTTCAGAACAACAAAATTCAAGAAAATTTACATTGACTAAATTATATGAACGTGAGAAATAGCTTTCTCATGTGTTTCTGTGCGTAAAATGAACTAATCTGACAGTCTTGTTTAAGTCAATTCAGAAAAAATAATTTCGGACTCAAATGGTTAAAAACTCACCCTAATTATCCAGCTATTGTTTCTTCGGTTTCGAGAAAGAGCATGTCGCTACGGTAGCGAATTACTTTGTACAAGAGTTCAATATTCCATCGTCGGTCGATTCGACATGTAGATTAATCCTTCTCATCAAAAGATCAGTATCTATCATACAGGACAATTAAAATCTGCTAAACACTGATATGAAATTTTTGGATTTCTTGCAAACATTGCACGAAATTTCGATACATGACTTGGATGTGTTCTCCAGAGAGAAACAGCAGATTGGGGCGTCTACTTCCTTTTCTATCAGAGAAATCTAATTAAACCCTTTGTTTTGTATGTACAACACTCGATAGTCAACGATTTCACAATGAGAGTAGAGCGAAATCATGGATCGAAAATATTATGTCTATTCTTTACTTTCGTGGACGATCGAAGAGAAAACTTCACGTGGTTAGTATTGAATTTGTATATGTGACTGATAGTTGGAAATGCGTATGCTCAGTGTTTCTAGAATGCCCTTGAACGGACATCATTCATTGGATCGTTCAAATGAGATGATTTCGGTTCTGTGCCTTAGGTTACAAGAATTTATTGAATATGACTGAAATTCAAAGCAAATCATGTAGAGTCAATGACTGGAATTGTTCTTGCACGATTTCTTATCTTGATCGCCAGTTTCACTAGGTAAGGTATGATCATACGTAAAACAGCGACCAATCCACCATATAGACCCAGAATGCGAATAAAAACCGTCAACGCATCAGTATACTTTTCATATACATAAGTACAGTATTTCGGTGCACATTTATTGTAAAAGTCTAAGTAGGAGACAGATGACTGCCACTCTTCCACCATTAGAGATGCAACAAGAT